AAAGGAGAACAACTAAACATTTTTACAGCTCTAAAATAAACTAGTGTTTCATAATTTAAGTAATTAGTATTTTAAAAATGCAATTAATAATAAATGCAAAGTACACCCACGCACCTACCAACAAAAAAGCTACAATAACTCAAATAAGAAAAAATATATAAATATACGTTTCATTTGTAAGTCAAATTTTATGCATATTATTTACATTCAAGCTCAGCCTTTGAGGATTGAAAAAATAATTAATATGTGTATAATTCGAAACTTTATACAATTATTCGTTTTTACCAATTACATAATTTTTTAAGATATCGTATAATATTTATATATTAGTCTCTTCAAGCAAAACAAAAAAATGATTCATACACACTTCGCATTATATACACCCCGATTAATGAATAAAACATGTAATGTGCTCTAAACTGTTTGCTTTTTGTAGAAATGGAAAACAATAACTAGAATGTGTTTTAGTGCTGTCCTTTGAACTGTATTAAATGGTAATTAAGAACCATTAATTAATATTTAGATACTTTATAATATTATTGAATTTAAGTTTGCCTTTTCCATACATAAAACATGTCAATTCATATCATTTATTTCAATTACCATTTAGAGTACGAATTGCTTGCTATCCAAACCCAATTTTACATCATAGAATTAAATGAGTCAAAAAATTTAAAATCCCATTTGATTCATCTTATGTAGCATAAAAGCTTGTGATAAAACATATTACATAATAAGAGAAAAAACTAAATAAAACGAGTCAAAATGCGTACTGTGCTAACTAATATTATAGTATGTATATATAATGAATTTTTATTTATATCTAAACAACAAACATTACTGGCGTTGGCACCGACAGTAGAACAAAAAAGTTACTTCAACTAGCACATATTTGAGTCTTCGTTTGTAGGGGAGTCCTGAAAATGATTTATTTAAAATTTGAGAAAAGAAATTTGTTTTTAAAGTAATGAAAAATTATTACATAATATTTCTGAGGTTTTTATTAGCTTCACTATCCATTTAAACGTGACCCTTGCGAGCTAAGGAAAACTATATTTATTAAAATCGTCAATAAAAAAATTAATATATCTTTATAAATGAGTTGCGTAGATAAGAGCGACTTTTGGCAACACCAAAAATGTTCTTTGTTCTCTACAACGATGAAGTAAAGGAGACTACAGAGATCCATATATAGTGAACTGTAAGTGAATAAGTACCATCTTGTGACGGATTCATTTACACTTTAAACTGATTATTATACACTAAATTCAAGTTCCACGGGACGATGGGAACATGTTTAAAATAGGGCTTAACGTTCAATAAGAACCTATGTACAAAAGACATTTTAAATCAAAATAGACTGACGATAAGTTACAAAAATAAAAGCAATTATTATTTTAGGTGAAACATCACGTGAGCATAAAGCAATCTGTGAAGAAACCCGTGTGATGTAACACCACGTGACCTTTGTTCAACTTAACTGTCATCTACTATTTTCAGAATGTGTGGAAATGTCTAAAGTAACGTCGAAAAAAAATAAAGTAAATTGACAACAAGATAATACTTATTTTATGATTTCTTTAATATTATGCTATAAATATCATAAAGTATTCTATTCAAAATCATGATATGTGCTAATTTCAAAACGAAACTGTTTTATTTTTCATATTGCGCAGTTAAATCCATGTAACGATAGGGTATTAGTACATTACTTTATTTAGACACAGACTAATGAGTTATAGAAAAAAATCACAATTTTTTTGATTTCTTTCTGGCGTTCCCGAAAAGGACACCTTGTCCCCAAATTAATGGCAGCGTTCTCTGAATGACGATTAATGCAAGGATGATGATTGCTTTGTAATTACAAAAATGATATGTAGTCAATCTTTTTTAAATTTAATCATCTAGAAATTTTGGCTAACAGTACCAGCCTCATTAAATACCTTTAAGCAGTCTTGGACAAATAGTATTATTAATTAGCAATGAACCTGTTAAAATTTTACCGCGAATAAAACAATATTTTTATAGTTTTCAGCCTTTATTCTTTGATAATATTCTCTGTCTTTCGCTTTCTTTAGTTCTTTTTCCTAAGGAGTCGTTTTATTCAAAAACTTTCGTTTCCTTGCATTAGCATTTTCGCATTGTTTTAAATACTANACCTAACAATTTTTAAAATTAAGGCCCTTGATTTCGTCAATTTCTTTCCCCTTTAATGACATATGTATATTATTTATGATATCTCAACGTTAGGTACCGTCAATTTCAAACGGGGAAAAACCGCAGAATCAGTTACCGCACGACGAAGCAAGATCTTACAGATATTCTGGTCCAGAGAAGCCCCCCTTTACGTATACAGAACTGATCGAGTATGCTCTGACAGAGAAAGGGGAATTAACCGTTTCTGGGATATATCAATGGATCTCGTGAGTACAAGTTGTTGTTGTTATTTGTTAATGGTGGTTGTAAACATCTATCAAGAATGCGTAAAGTGTAAATATCCACAGGTTTAATAGCTCTTTGAAAGTGCCTAATCAGTACACGTTTTCTAGTAGCAAACACCGACTAAACACACACCCTCTAATGTACACAAAAGGGCAAAGGGAAAATCTAGGTGACTTTTCCTTACCCACAAATACACTCTTGTTACAATTAACATAGATATGGGATTCCCCCAACGAAGATTCTTTAACTGTTATTTTCAATTTACAATTTTTAATCAAAAATAAAAAGATTAACGTTTTCTTAGAGCTCCTCAATAAATCGAAATGTATATCATTCTTGGAACGTTTAGAAAATATAGTAAAAAAATTCATTGTCGGTTTTGTTAAAGATTATGAGAAGTTTTTACTATTTTCGTGTAATTTTTTCTTATAAATCCAAAACAATTAGATATTTCTCTATACTCTGTGCCTTCTTCAGGTGAAGGCGAACACGAGGTAAAATTATTGTGTATTAGCAATGAACAGTTTTGTAATAAAGTAACTGTTGCTTTCATATTTTTTAATACAACAAAATATCGTATCAGTATTATGAATTCGTCACTCGAATAATCAATGTATTTTATGGCGATTAATAAAAATGCTCCCCTTTAAAAGCAAAACTGGTGAAATGGGTAAATCAAGCATCAAATAAAAAGGGAAACCGTTTCCTCCCCTATTTATTTTGTGCCTAATATTTCTCTAAACTGACAATCGTGTTCGGTAAATTTGCATGTGGTAAATCGTCCTATTTGACGGACTTTTAGAGAGTTGCCATTAAGTGGTTACGAGCAATTGTAAAACGTTCCCCAAGATCGTCAATACTTGGTACCAGGTACGACCTGTTCCAAAACTGCAGGACATGAACTTCACCTGGTGCTACGACAATCAGGAGGGCACACGCCACACGATCGGGTTAATCATGTGATATATATAACTGCGCCCGAAAGTAATCACTTCAAAATGATATTCACGTTGAGGGGGTGAACACAAAAAAAGAGCGAAACTACCCCATTTATTATAACTACCAAAGCCAATCAGAATATCCATACTTTTTATCTTTTTATACGTACATCATTTAATTTTATTAAGTATTAGTGAAGCAATTTTGTTAGATACTACGAAATAATACTTATAATTATTAATAATCTGAGAGAAAAAAGGGACCTATTAAAAAAGTCAAAAATGGTTTACAAAATCGTTCTAACTATTCGTCGTTTTATAAGTACATAATAAATGTCAACTCTCTATATCGGATATAAAGTAAATATTATTTAATGTATTTACAATGTGTACTATAGAGGGTTATTTAGAAATCGACAATAATTTATTACGGTTCTGGTATTATGAAGATCATTCACGAAGATAGTCTAAAAAAAGTAAACAAGTAATATGTAAGCATCGGTGGTTCAGTGGTAGAATGCTCGCCTGCCACGCGGGCGGCCCGGGTTCGATTCCCGGCCGATGCAATCTGTTTTTATTTTTATATTAAAGAAAATTAGTATTTAAACCGTGTAGGCGCAGATAGCGAAAATATGAGATATAATAACAATTTATTTTCAAATGCAGCACATTTAATTAACATAATTTTTACTTCAGGGACCATTTTCCCTTTTATAAGCAAAGTGACGACAGATGGAAAAATTCTATAAGGCACAATCTATCCATAAATCCACATTTTAGAAAGGGATGCAAATCACTGCACGGCGCTGGGCATCTTTGGACAATCGCTAATCACGATATCAAAAATTCGTGGAATATGGTAAACCTCAAATACAATATTTATTTATTTATTTAACAGAAAANTAGTAATATTTGAACGACAAGAGATATTTTTAATACCAAAAAAACGTCCTTTTTCTCTTCTATATTTTTTAGAAAAAACAAAAATTCCAACAAATATGCAAGTCGTTTTGTGAAAATAAAGAAAAATTAATGGAAAAGGAACTTGAAGCAGCTACTGCTAGTATTCTCTCAGAAATTAATGCTGGAGACTTTACAATTTTAGAGGTAATATACACTTTGGAAATTGAATCTATATATTATTTGCACCTACATTTCTAATAACTTTAATAATAATCTTGCTTTATAGGACGATAATAATACAGATATGAATGGAAAGAGACAGCGAATTGAAGTGGAATACGTGAACTTAATAGATGTTAGTGACGGTTTAGGAGGTAACAATTTTTCTTACATCCTTTCTTAGAAACTACATTTTTTATAAGTACTAACAACAGTATTATTCTTCTTCTGAATGCACTAAAACCTTTCAGCACCTACTCTTAAAAGTAGATAATTTGTTAACAATTTCTTTTCAATACTAACCGGTTGCTTTTACTTGCAAAATTTTTTATTACCTAACAATTTTTAAAATTAAGGCCCTTGATTTCGTCAATTTCTTTCCCCTTTAATGACATATGTATATTATTTATGATATCTCAACGTTAGGTACCGTCAATTTCAAACGGGGAAAAACCGCAGAATCAGTTACCGCACGACGAAGCAAGATCTTACAGATATTCTGGTCCAGAGAAGCCCCCCTTTACGTATACAGAACTGATCGAGTATGCTCTGACAGAGAAAGGGGAATTAACCGTTTCTGGGATATATCAATGGATCTCGTGAGTACAAGTTGTTGTTGTTATTTGTTAATGGTGGTTGTAAACATCTATCAAGAATGCGTAAAGTGTAAATATCCACAGGTTTAATAGCTCTTTGAAAGTGCCTAATCAGTACACGTTTTCTAGTAGCAAACACCGACTAAACACACACCCTCTAATGTACACAAAAGGGCAAAGGGAAAATCTAGGTGACTTTTCCTTACCCACAAATACACTCTTGTTACAATTAACATAGATATGGGATTCCCCCAACGAAGATTCTTTAACTGTTATTTTCAATTTACAATTTTTAATCAAAAATAAAAAGATTAACGTTTTCTTAGAGCTCCTCAATAAATCGAAATGTATATCATTCTTGGAACGTTTAGAAAATATAGTAAAAAAATTCATTGTCGGTTTTGTTAAAGGTTATGAGAATTTTTTACTATTTTCGTGTAGTTTTTTCTTATAAATCCAAAACAATTAGATATTTCTCTATACTCTGTGCCTTCTTCAGGTGAAGGCGAACACGAGGTAAAATTATTGTGTATTAGCAATGAACAGTTTTGTAAGAAAGTAACTGTTGCTTTCATATTTTTTAATACAACAAAATATCGTATCAGTATTATGAATTCGTCACTCGAATAATCAATGTATTTTATGGCGATTAATAAAAATGCTCCCCTTTAAAAGCAAAACTGGTGAAATGGGTAAATCAAGCATCAAATAAAAAGGGAAACCGTTTCCTCCCCTATTTATTTTGTGCCTAATATTTCTCTAAACTGACAATCGTGTTCGGTAAATTTGCATGTGGTAAATCGTCCTATTTGACGGACTTTTAGAGAGTTGCCATTAAGTGGTTACGAGCAATTGTAAAACGTTCCCCAAGATCGTCAATACTTGGTACCAGGTACGACCTGTTCCAAAACTGCAGGACATGAACTTCACCTGGTGCTACGACAATCAGGAGGGCACACGCCACACGATCGGGTTAATCATGTGATATATATAACTGCGCCCGAAAGTAATCACTTCAAAATGATATTCACATTGAGGGGGTGAACACAAAAAAAGAGCGAAACTACCCCATTTATTATAACTACCAAAGCCAATCAGAATATCCATACTTTTTATCTTTTTATACGTACATCATTTAATTTTATTAAGTATTAGTGAAGCAATTTTGTTAGATACTACGAAATAATACTTATAATTATTAATCAACAGGAGAG